TTTCCTCTTCTTCCTCCTCCTCATTTTTCATATTAGATGTCATAGTCTGCACTTTTTATGTATCCCTTGACTGATCTTGTGTATAGTTTATTTTGCTTCTTTTGTTTTATTTTAATTTTTACTTGCTTGGTAATTAGTTGGTCTACTATCTTTACTGTGGGTTCATTTTCACTGGTGAAAGATACTTAGCCTTAGGATCATTTCCTTCTACAGCAATTCCTTTAACATACTCTGTAAGGCTGGCTTAGTTGTGGCGAATTCCTTCAACTTTTGTTTATCTTCAGATTGTTTAATATGTGCTTCACATTTAAATGATAATCTTGTTGGGTAGAGGATTCTTGATTGGAGGTCCTTCTGTTTCAGTACATTAAATATATAATGCCAGTCCCTTCTGGCCTGTGGAGTTTCTGTTGAGAAGTCTGCTGCTAGCCTGATGAGATTTCCTTTATAAGCAATCTTTTTTCTCTCTCTGAATGCTTTCAACTCTCTCCTTATCCTTGATCTTTGCCATTTTATTTATTATATGTCTTGGTGTTGTCTTCCTGGGGTTCCTTTTGTTGTGGGATCTCTGTGCTTCCATGGCCTGAGTGTCTATTTCCTTCCCCAGATTGGGGATGTTTTCAACAATTACTTCCTTAAAGAGACTTTCTATCCCCTTGTCTTTCTCTTCTCCTTCTGTTACCCCTGTTGTGCAAATACTGTTTTGTTTGTATTGGTGACATAGCTCTCTTATCATTCTTTCATTCCTAGAGATCCTTTTTTCTCTCTGTTCCTCAGCTTCCTTTTTTTCCTCTTCTCTCGTTTCCATTTCATTTACTGTGTCCTGTACATGTTCTCATCTACTTTTAAATCCCTCCATTGTGTGCTTCATCTCAGATACTGTATTCTTCAGCTCTGAGTGGTTCTTTTTCAGGTCTTCTATATCTCTTTTGAAGTCCTCTCTCAGATCTTGAATACTTTCTGGAGTTCTGTCCTCTAGTTTTGTTTGAATCATATTCCTCTTCATAGTCATTTTGTCAGGGTTTTTGTGTTTCATCCTTTGTATTAGATGGATCTGCTATGCTTCCTGGTCTATAGAGTAATAGCTTTGTGAAGAAGGTGTCCTGTGGTGCTCAGAAGCTCAAGATCTTTTACTCTACAGTGTCTGGCTCTATTTTGTGGGGCCCCAGCTGTTGGCATGCAATGGGTGGGGCTGCCTTTCTGTCTGTCTGCTGTAGTGTTCTCAGTCTGGGCTGGCAGTTTGCTTCTGTTGCCCATTTGTGATCAGTGCAGGATTCTCTGCTGAAGTCACTGTGGGTGGGGTTGCCCACTTCCTGGCCTGCAGCAATGATAGGGCTGCTGGGGTAATGGGGGTGGGTAGGCTGATGTGGGGGTCTGCCCAGGCCTGAAGCACAGCAACAGGCTTGGGCACCCACAGGGAGGGAGGTGCTCTTGGGTCTGGCTCTGGTAGGCACCTCCCTGGTTGGGCTGAAATGGAGCCAGGCAAGCTGAGTCTCCCTCTGCCTGCGGCAGCAAAGTCCAACTCTACTGCTGGGTTGAGTGGGTTGACTGGCAGTGTGCACAGGGAGGAGCCTCGGGGCTGTGTTTGCAGTGAGGGGGATATAGTATCTGGGGTTCTGGAGTTCCTGACCTGTTTGGCTGAGGGAGGGTTGGGGAGATATTGTCCACCTGCCCTTTCTTCCAAGGAGACAGTTCTGTCTAACCCTTGCCCTTCTGGCTCTCCTCCTGCTGTTTGCACATCTTTAAAACTACCCATTCTTCCTTTGTCTCAGGGGACTAGTGGAGCTTGCCTGTTCTCTACAAGTCGTTGGAATCTCAGCCTCTGAGTGTTCCACCTGCCCTTGGTGTCCAGCCCTGCTAGTCACCAGAATCCAATGTAATGTGAGCTCGTGCTCCCAGGGCAGATATCCAGGGCCAGGTGTTCAGCACTCCTGGGCTCCTACCACCTCCCCACTTTGTTCCCCTTTCTCCCACCTGTATGCTGGGGTCTGGTGGGGGGCTTGGATCCTGCTCAGTCATAGCTCTGCCACTTTACACTTTTCTGTGAGGTCTTCTCCTCTTCCCCAGTTGTAGTAGTCTATTTTGTAGTCATCAGGTCATTTTCAGGTTTAGTTATATTTGCTATATTTTCTTGTTCTGTGTTTTGGGGAAAAGGTTTCTGTCTTGTCTTCCTACTCCACCATATTCCCCCTCTCCCCTGCCCTCCACCTTGCCATTTTCTGTGGAGTCTCTCTAGCCTTTGTTGAGTAGAAGTTCTTCAGTCAGCCCCCAGTTCCTCAGGAGGAACTGCTCTATGTGTAGGTGTAAATTCAGTGTGTTAATGGGAGGAGGTGAGTTCAAGTCTTTCACCACCATCTAAGACAAGTCCTTGAAATGATTCTTGGTTTACAGTTTTTTCCTGTTAGCACTTTGAATATGTCAGCTCACTGCCTTCCTGCCTTCAAAGTTTCTGATGAGAAATCTGTTTTTAATCTTAATGAGGTTACCTTCCTTGTATGTGATTTCTTGCTTCTCTCTCTCTGCTTACAAGATTTTCTCTTTGTCTTTTGAAAGTTTGTTTATAATAAATCTCAGTCTGGGTGTCTTTAAGTTCATCTTAATTGGTGTTTGTTGACACATTTGCAAATGTTACTTCTTCAAATACTCTGCCTCTTTCTCTCTTCTCCTGCTGGGACTGCCGCTGTTCATATGTTGGTCCACTTGATGGTGTCCCAGAGGTCTCTTAGGCTCTGTTGCCTTGTCTTTCAGTCTTTTTTCTGTCTGTTCCTCATACTTGATGATTTCCCTTGTCCTGTCAAGTTCACTGATTCTTCTACCTGCTCAAAAATGCCTTGTAATCGTTATAGTGAAATTTCAATTCACTTACTGTTGTTTAAGCTACAGATTTTCATTTTGGTTTCTTCCTAGATTTTCTTTATTGTTATTGCTATTTGCATCTTGTCCATACATGGTTTTCTTGACTTTCTCTGTATTTTCCTTTAGTTTTTTAGCATATCTTAAGACAGATGTTTAAAAGTCTTTGTCTAGTATACCATCAGGTATTTTTCAAGGACTGTTAGATTATTTTTTTCCTTTGAATGGGCCATACTTTCCTGTGTCTTTGTATGCCTTGTGATTTTTGGTTGAAAACTGGACATTTGAATCTAATACTGTGGTAACTCTGGGAACCAGATTATCTTCCTTCCCTAGGTCTTGCTGTGTTTTTTGTTTGTTTGTTGTTTGTTTGTTTGTTTTGATTGTTGTAGTCTGTCTCTGTGGCAAGAATTAGTCCAAGGTGTAATCTTAAACTGTCTCCAGGTCTTTCCTAAATCTTTATTTGGACATGCATTGTCACTTTCTGATTTTCCCTGTTAATGGAGTTGTTTTTGCTTGTCCTGGTATTTAATGTCCTCTAAGCCTTCCTATGGAAGTTGCAAGTCTGTAATAGATGCCAGACTTGCAACTTCCAGTCTGTAATAGACTCCAGAATTTCAAAATAGTTTCTTCAGACACATTCTGCCAGTGTGATTGTTGTCTAGGTTGGGAGACACATTTTGTAGTGCTTCCTCTATCATCTTCTGAGAATCTTGTATAATAATGTTTTACAATCAGGAGCTCTGAGACCTCCAACTTTATTCTTCTTCAAGATTATTTTGCCATTCAGGATCCTTCAAGATTTCATATTAATTTGAGGGTGATTTTTTTTTTCCTATTTCTGCAAAAAGTGCTGTTGGACTTCTGCAGGGATTGCATTGATTCTGTATATTGCTTTTGGTATTATTGATATCTTAACAATATTAAGTCTTCCAGCACATGAACTTGGATGTCTTACCCCTATTTTGTGTCTTTGATTTCTTTTAGCAATGTCTTTTGAATTCTTTCATATGTCTTTCATATGTAATCATAACCATTTACCACCTGAGCCCAATGGAGTTTATTTGGTTATTTAAAAAGTAATTTTCATTTTGTGAATAATTTACATACATAAGAATACAGAGATGATGAAGAACAGCTTTATTAGAAATTTTATTAAGATTTTGACATAGTAAGTCTGTGTATCAAGTACATTTTTGTAAACACTCATAAGAAAGATGAAAGAATAGTGTATGTCCTCAAAGTGAGTTGGGTAGCATTCCTGTCACACAATGTGATAAAGTCCATCTTTCATGTTGAATAACTGACTGGGTGACAAGACCTTATTTCCTAACTCCTTAGAAATATGTTGATTCTTAAGCTGGAGATTATTCATCTGTGGTATTCTCATCTAAAGACTCATAGTTTAAGATTTTATTTCTCTGGTGGATTTCATCATCATTAGGGTCTAGAGAGCTGCTGTCTAGCTTTTTGCATTCTTGTTCTCATTCATTCATAATAGTGAAATACCTTCTGTCAGTTTTCTTGTCATGGAGGAGTGTAAAATAAATAGATTCTAAATTGCCATCTGTGTTCAGTGAAAGCTAAGGCAGCAAAGATTGTCCCCATGTTTTATATCTTCCTGAAAGGTGATGATTGCAGTACTTCGGGCAGTGCAATAAGAAAACTGAAGGATGGCTGTTCATTTCACCATTTCATCACACTACTAGGTGATTTAGTCATTCTTCATTTTTCTCAATGTTTTAGCTTTTAAAGAGTATTATTGGAAACAATTGATAGTTCCATGTTAATTGTAAACATTTCAAGGTAGAGGAAAAGTAAGAATACTAAGATCCCATAATTTTTCTTAGGTTAATAAAGTGGTTCAGTGGTCCCAAATCATAATTATAAGAGACTGAATTTACTCCAGTTTTAAAAAATAAGTAAATTTTCTCTTTGTTCTTTGGAAGACCTCTAAGACTGGGGGTGGGAAAAAGTCTTGATAATAGAAAGAAACTCAGGAAATAAAATTAGGTCTAGTGGACCCTAGTGGTATACTGAAGGCAAAAAGCAGCAGGAGCCCTTTTTTATTAAAAAAAAACAAACAACTTTTGAGATTTGGTGAGGTAATTTAGAGTTAACTGAATTCTTATTTCCTTATCTTTTAGGCTTTAGGGGACCAGATACTCTTTGTAAATCATCCTGATAAAAAGAAGATTCTTTTCTTCAATGATAAGAGCGTCAGTTTTCTGTGGATGAAGGTAAGCCTTTCTTGATATATACTTTTTTGTTTGCAGGCATGTCACAAATTTAGGGTGGCAAAATTTACAATAATTATAATGCAATTACAACTTAAATTTTATAATATTGCTCTTTTAGTATTATCTCTTAGAGCAGAGCTACTAACTCCTATGTCTAACATCTTGTTTCTCAGAATGCAATTTGAAACATGTAATTTGAAAGATTTTAGGTTAATTATCCTTGCAGTCATGGTAAAGCAGTTAAGGATTTCTTATGCTTATAGCTCAGCTTTACCAAATAGGAGGTTTTTTTTTTTTTTCTGTTATTTTACAAATATTATTTCATATGTTGACATGAATGCTTGATGCAAGACAGGAAAAAGAACAAACTTGGTGACCAGTATTCTCTCAACTTATAAATCTTTTGATTATCAAATTGGTTAAGGCAGGAGATTACTTTTTTCTTTCTGGCAAGTACAGAGTTTTATGGAAGATACATGTTTTGCCTTATACTAAATGTGTGATAACTGTATTTTGGATTTTACTTTAAAAATATTTCATTAGCTTTTTTTCATGTAAAACAGTAACTAAAGGGTTTAGTCATGAGAAATTTCTTTGACCTACAAGTAGAAATTCTCATTTAAACAAATGTACTTTACTATAAATATGTACTAGTTTTGAAGTTTAATACAAAGGCAAGAAAAGAATTGAAAACTATTTTAATCAAGTTTTCAAAAGTAATACAAACTCACAGCAAAATATTCTAACAATATAGAAGTACATAGAATAAAATAGTAGTGTTCAACTCCAAATAGTGAAATGATCGCTCTGCCTGCCTAGTTTGACTCTTCTGTATTGCAGTAAATAAAAGATACTCTATTGAACAAATAATTTTGTGTAAGGAATGCATTTAAAAGTCTTGTCCCTTTTGTAGCCCATACATGTCTTGATTATGATTGTGTGATTTGTACAGTCCCCTAAGTTTTTCTTTTCTATGTTACCTGGCTGTAGCTATTCAGGCTTACGGTGCTTGTAGATAGGAGTTTATTAGTCATCTCTGCTTACTTAGATGACTGCGATGTGTTTTAAGAAATAGAATGTTGTTTGTGAAAATTGTGACAGAGTGCCTTGTAGTGTAGTGGTTCTCAGCAAATGTTTGCTAATTAAATAATTCGCAAGCCATTCCAGTTCTTCTGCACCAGCTTTTCTAATAAGGAACCTTTCTGTATGTGAACAGGGTGGAGATGAACTCCTGTGCATTGTAGTAATAGTTGCTCATTGAAGAAAGGTCTGGCTTAGTTGTACTGCTTGATTTAACTTGGAATTTTACTGTTATGGAAACTTTGATAAATTGTCAAATTGATTTCTTGCTTTTGAAAAACATAGGTATAGACTCGATCTTTAAAATCCTTGCAGGTTTAAAAAAAATAACTAATAGCTTTATTTTTCATAATGTTTTATATAAACCATTTGAAAAAAATGGCTTTTACCACATATATCACATGTTCAGATAGGAAGAAGGTTCTTAAACAGCACATGTGCTTTTCTTCCCTCTAATTCCAGTCCTTTTCTGGTGTGACAGCTACTTAAACTAGCTTCACTCATATTCTTGTGATTTTTTTCCATATTGGTAAATGATATGATTGTATTGTTATTTCTTGATTTTCTCAACTTGAAGTGTTGATTCCAACACTTGTCTCTCTACTTCCCAATCTAGTATAGCACTAGCTTTAGTTTTTCTACCATTTATTTTAGCACCTTCAACAAACTTTCTTAGTGGGAGTTTTGAGTATTAAGTATGCTCTGCAGAAGGGGCAGCATAGTGCAGCATATCTGTTAGGCAAGTAGATGTTTAAATTGAGGCAAGTGTTGAGATTGCAGTAGCTCTGTAAGAGTAGCATGAAACTCCAGGATTTCTTGATAGTATTTACTGGAGAAATTTTAGGAGTTAGAATTTCCATTCAACAGTAATCCTCACATTAATCCTTGTACTAAGCCATTGTTATTTTCTGTCCCTTTTGTGTTCTTTATGTGGATACTATTGTTTTAACTGCTCAGCCTTTTCCTGTTTGTGTATCTTGTACATATATTAAAATGAAAATATCCCATTTTCACTTGTCATTTATATGCCCTTTGTTGACTTATGCTCTTCCCATCTGCATATTACTTGGGTAAGGACAAAATGAGTATTTTTCACTTTTCTCCCCTAGATTATGAAAGTGACCATATATGCTTGCTAGTAAAATCTCACACTCTAGAATTAAGTTCTGTAGATTCTATAATGCTACGTTTCTAGTTAATACTCCATTTCAGAGATGTACCTGATGAATGGGGTTTTAAGTGCTGTAGGAAAAATCCTTACACATACTACACATTGGATTTCTTTTATGTTAATGAAGCACCCATGTAAATCAGGGAGATACTGGGAAGATAAATTGATAAATTATTTTTGCATCTTTCAAGATATTTGTTGTTGCTGATGTATTTAATATGTGATGAAATAGATTACTAGATTTCCTAATATCAAACCATCCTTACACTCCTAGAATCACTTGAATAATCCTTCTTTGGTTTTATGTATTTCTGGATTCATTTTGCTAATGTATTTAAGGATTTTTGCTTTTGTATGGTCAGTTTTCTTTTTCGTGTGTGTGTTCTCATTGATTGGTATTGGTAGATTCATAAAAAGGTAATTACAGTTTTCCTTCCTTCCTTCCCTACCTGCCCCCCCTTTCCCTCCTTTTTCTGTCCTTTTTCATGAGAATATTAGATTTCTTGAAGATCTGAAAGCATGTACCTATATGTGTATTGCTTTTGACAATACTCTTAAGGTCTCCTTTGGTTATGTCCCTTAAATTTTCTGTCTTGTGAGTCAGTTTTACTAATGTGTGTTTTCACAAAATCGTCATTTTCTTTTTTAACTTTCAAATTTATTAGTATATAATTTTGCAGAATTGGCCCTAGAACTTGTTTTTCTCCATTATCCTCCCTTTTTGTTGCTAACTTCTTATATCTGGGATTTATCCCTTATTTTTTTGTTATGCTATTGGTTTATTTTACTTTTGTTGTGTTTTGTTTTAAAAGAAAATTGATCAAATCACCCTTTACATACTAGTTTTGACTTCTTATGAGCAGTGACTGAGCAAATATTAAAATCTCCCATTGCTTTTCCATACTTTTGTTAGTTTTGTCAGTACTTCCTGTAGATACTGCTTTATATATTTTCCTGCAGAGTTTGTGGTTTATAGTAATAGTTTATATCTTAATAGTAATAGTTTAAAGACTGTACCTGTAATCATTATAAAGTTACCCCTCTTGGTCATAGTTAATGTGCTTTTTACTTGAAGTCTAGCTTTATCTTATATTAACATCTTAACCCCTTGCCTTTTTAATTTTATCTGATACATTTTTGCCCATTCTTTTGCTTTATAACTGTCATCTTTTGTTTTATGTATTTCCTTTGTAGGTGGTATATGATTGGTTTTAACTTTTCTTTGAGAGGGCATCTCTCATATTTATTGATCAAATGGTTGTTAACAACAATAAAATTCAGTATAGGGGGGTCAACGCTCAATGTACAATCATTAATCCATCTCAAGCCTAATTCTCGTCAGTCTCCAATCTTCTGAAGCATAACGAACAAGTTCTTACATGGTGAACGAATTCTTACATAGTGAAT